TCTCTCTCTCTGTCGAGAGCACACCGGCGCACTGGGGAAAACCCCTCCAAAAAAAAAAAAAAAAAATTCTGGGGTTATTTATTTCTGTTGAGTCTGCAGCTTCTTCTATTAATATCAATAGTTTACTCTCTAACCTTAAGGTACTTTTGGAAACTACCAGTAAACAGCTTATACAGTAACATTAATTTGTTCCCACAGGTAAACTGTGAGACAGATTTTGTTTCTAGAAATTTAAAATTTCAGCAGTTGGTCCAGCAAGTAGCCCTTGGAACCATGTTGCATTGTCAGAGCCTCAAGGATCAACTCTCCACATACAGCAAAGTAAGTTCAGGGGTTGCCTTCGGTATGCTGAATTTGTTCTTTTAGTCTTTGCTGTGCATTTTTTCAGACATTCTATGTCTTATTCCTTCACTTCACATCTCTGCTTAAATGTTACCTCTTTGAAGAGGAATAACCTTTCTCCTGTTCCTCTAGCCCCTTATTCTGCTTGATTTAAGTTTTTATTATAGTGCTAATATATTACATTTTCATTTATTTGTATCATAGTTGTCTTCCTCCGTAGAATATAAGTCATCCGGGTGGCGAATTTGTATTTTTATTACTATATTTCTGGTAAAGAGGATTGGGCCCAGCGCTTAGTTGGTGCCTAAGAAATCATTATTGAACGAATGAATGAATGAATGCCCGTGGAGTGAACTCAGCCAGATCAAGCTAAGCCATCTCAGGCTTCTCATTCAGTAATGTGGAATGGCAGAGGAAACGATTTCTATTATTATTTTTTTTTTTGGAGAGGTTCTTGCTATAGAGTGCGTGTGCTTGCCAGACAGACAGAGAGAGACATAGAGACAGAAAGCGAGAAATCACCTCCCAGGGGGGATGGCCACGCTGCAATTCCTTCTCCTCCATTCTCCTCTCAGGATCTTGGGCACGCACGCACACGCGCCCGGCATGAGTTTAAGCCACCAGGTCCAGGACTCGAACCGCGGTCAACTACATGGGAGTCCAGCAACATAGCCATTATGCTAACTGCTGGTCCCAGAGTTTCATAAGTTTGACTTAGATTCTGCGTTATTGTCAAGGCAAAAATGAAGCAACCACTCATGACAATTTCTTTTTTTTCCTTTTTTTGGGTATTTGTTACTACCTTTTTCTTCTCTTATTTATCTATTTCTTGAGACCCTTTGGTAAATATTAATTACTATAATTAAATAATCATATTACATAGAAAACTGTGTTGAACACTGAGTAGATGAGTCATTTGAACTAGAAATTCTTTTTTGGGGGGGAGGGGGAAGAGATTTTTGCTATAGGGTGCATGTGCTTGCTGGAGACAGAGAGACAGCAAGTGAGAAATCCACCCCCACACACACACCAGGGGGCATAACCCCTCCTCAATCTCATCTCCCTTCTCCTCTTGGGATTTTGGGCACACACATACATGCACCTGGTATGAGTTTTAAGCTTCTGGGTCCAGGATTTGAACCATGTTTGACTACTTGGGAGTCCAGCAATGTAACTGCTATGCCATCTGCTGGTCCCCAACTAAAAATGCTAATCTTGATTTTGTCACTGACTGTAACCTTGAGCCATTCCCTTACTATATTGGGCCTCTGTTTCATTATCTGTGACAAGGATTCTGATCCCTTTTAGCTTTGTTTAATTATTTTTTCTTTCTGGTCTTTAATTTTTTAAGAAAATTTTATTTTGGAAATAATTCGAATATAAAGAAAAGTTGCCAGTATTCTTTCTTTTCTTTTATTTTTTTTTAAAGAGGTCTTTGCTATAGGGTGCATGTGCTCGCCAGAAAGAGAGACAGAGAGACAGAGAGCGAGAAATCACCCCCCAGGGGGTGTGGCCATGCTGCAATCCCTTCTGCTCCATTCTCCTCTTGGGATCTTGGGCACGCACGCATACGTGCTCGGTGTGAGTTTAAGCCACTGGGGCCACTGGTGTGAGTGTATGCCACCGGGGCCAGGACTTGAAACTTGGTCGACTACATGGGAGTCCAGCGACATAGCCATTACACCAATTGCTGGTCCCAAGTTGCCAGTATTCTGCAGTAAACTTTTTTTTTTTATAAAAGAGGTTTTTGTCTTAGAGCATGCTTGCCAGATACACACACACACACACACATACACACACACACACACAGTGAGAGGGAAAGTGAGAAATCTCCCCTCGGGGGGATGGCCACACCACAATCCCTTCTTTCTCTCAGGATCTTGGGCAACCTTGCACTTGTACCCAGTGTATTTTAAGTCATTGGGTCCAAGACTTGAACTGCGGTTGACTGTGTGAGAGTTCAATGATATAACCATTATGCCATCTGCTGGTCCCTCCAGTTGCTCTTTATAATTTTTTTAAATTAATTTATTTTAAATTCATTCACTGAGCATCGTCACAGCATACAAAATGTGATTTCCCATCCAGAATACACTGTATAGTGGCTTAATCATATATGTTATCGTTGACAAATAATTTTCCATCTCTCGTCTCATGTATGTATATGTATATATATTTTTCCCCCTATTTCTCACCCCCTGCCATTTCCCACCCTCCTCCCACACTGTCTCTGGTGTCTACAGTTGCTTTCCATTCCTTTTCCCCCCATGTTTTATTGATTCACAAAATATCTTAATTAATCTAACTATTTTTCAATAGTAAGTTCAGCTGGTGAACACATGTCTGACTTTAGGCCTGAAGCTCTGAGTACAATGAATATACTATAAAGTAGCACCTAGCTGATGCTATATAGTTTACTATGGTCATTAAATAGGTATTTTTTTAAACATACTTTGTTAATTTTAAGAAAAGCAGTTTTAGCTTTAATAAATCAAAATTTAAAAGATGCTAAGAGAGCTTTGCTTGAAACTTAAAGCCAGGAAACAGTGGAAGAAAATTATTCCTTACTGTGTATCTTCTTGTAGCTTTTGAATTTTATCTATAATACTTATTTGAAAACAACAACAACAAAAAACCAGAATTCTATTAAGGTCCTATTATATAAGATTTGTAATAAGAACTAAGTTACATCAGATTAACAATGCCTTGTCCTCATTTGAGTCAAGATCTCTTAGTAACATTCACAGTGACTTCACTTGTTAGTGCTACTTAAACAACTGTCATTCTAATATTTTGTTAATTCACTCAAGCTTTTTCTTTTTTTTTTGAGAGGTTTTCGTTATAAGGCGCATACGCTTGCCAGAAAGACAGAGAGAGACAGAGAGACAAAAAAAACAAGAAATCACCTCCCAGGGGGGATGGCCACGCCGCAGTCCCTTCTCCTCTATTCTCCTTTCGGGATCTTGGGCACACACACACACGGCCCGGTGTGAGTTTTAAGCTTCCAGGTCCGGGATGCGAACCGCGGTCGACTACGTGGGAGTCCAGTGACATAGCCGTGACACTAACGGCTGGTCCCTAGTTACTTTTTATCCAGATTCCCCATTTGTTAACTTTCTGCCTCGTTTGCTTTATCACTTTTTATTTGCATGTTGCTATCATCAGTATGTTTTTTGTCCTTTTGTTGGGTACATTATGGACAACAGGATCCTGTATTATGGACATCAGGACCCTGTATTTATTTAGTATGTAACATTTTGGGCCCTGCAGGTGGTGTGGTGGTTAAAGGTACTGGACTCCCACATGGCTGACCACGGTTCAAGTACTGGACCTGGTGGCTTGCTTTCTTGCTCTTTCTCTCTCTCTCTCTCTTTTCTTTCTTTCTCTGTGTCTCTCTGATCAAATTGTAAAATAATCATAATATAAAGTTAAATAAAATAATATAAAAAAAGAACATTTAATCTAACAGAATTGTGATCTCATCTAGGATGCAACATTGATACAATGGTCTTACTTACATAGTTTGCAACATATAATCATAAATGCCAACTAGCTGCTTTTTTTCCTGACCCAGGATCTGTCAGTTCAGTATGGTGTATTACATTTAGTTGTCACAGCTGTTCAGTTTCCTCTCTTTGTTCCTCAGCCTTTCTTTTTGCTTTAGTACACTGGCATTTTGGAAGAGTCCAGAACAATTTTGTAGAATGTCCTTCAGTTTTGGTTTGTCTGTTGTTCCTTCCTAATTAGACTGGATTTGTCTTGTCTCGTCTTGTCTCGTCTCGTCTCATCTCGTCTCGTCTCTCCTCTCCTCTCCTCTCCTCTCCTCTCCTCTCCTCTCCTCTCCTCTTCTCTCCTCTCCTCTTTCTTCTTTTTCTTTCTCTCCTTCCTTCCTTCCTTCCTTCCTTCCTTCCTTCCTTCCTTCCTGTTTGCCCTATAGGGCATGTGCTCATGTAGAAAGTGAGAAAGCATCCACCAATGGGGATAGCCACACCATAACTCCTTCTCCATTCTCGTCTTGGATTTTGAGCACACATGTATATGTGCCTAGCCAGCGTGTGTTTCAAACTTGCAGTCAGCCTTGTAGAATTCAGCTACCTTCACCCCCATGCCATCCACTGGTTCTAGACTGGGATTTTTGTAGAAATATTTAAAAGCGTTTTTTTGTAGAACATCACATGAAGGGACACATGGAGGACTGTCCCATTATTGATGATGGTAATTCTGATCTCTGTTAAGGTAGTATTTGCCAGGTTTCACTGTAAAGTTGCCACATTCCTCTTGTGATTAACGAGTAATCTGTATGGGAGATTTGAGACTGTGCAAGCATCCAGTTCCCAAAAAACTTTAGCCTAATAGTTTTAGCATATATTGATGATTTTTATCAGGATTAGTTATTACTATGACAGTTTCATTATGGTTGTTTTTCTTACTCTTACAATTTCTTTTACACATATTAATTTTATTAGTTAGCATTGTACTGTTAGAAATTTTCCTTTTTTCTTTTTTATTTAATGATTTATCTAGTACGAACATTGATTCATGGATTCTTAATCTATATACTCAATTATAATTCTTTTTTTTTTAAGGAATTATTTATTGGGACCAGCAGGAGATGTTTTGGTTAAGGCACTGGCCACTCCCACATGGCTGACCATGGGTTGAGTCCTCAAACTGGTGGCTTGCTTTCTTACTTTCCCTCTCTCTCTCTGCATGTGTCTCTCTGGTCAAATAAAAATAAATGAATAAAATTAAATAATTATTGTTTTTAAAGTAAATTTCTAGTAGTGGGGTTGCAGGGTCAGAGGATAAATGTACCCTTTATCTGAAATGCTCCAGACCAGAGTGTTTCAGATTTGAATCTTTCAACTTTGGAATATTTTCATATATATAATGAGATAGATATCTTGAGGGTAGGACCCAAGTCTAAACATGAAATTCATTTATGTTTCATATACATGTAATGCACATAGCCTGAAGTAATTTTGTTTTTAAGGTTTTTGCCATAAGGCACGTGTACTTGCCAGAGAGAGGAAGAGGGGAAGTGAGAAATCAGCCCACAGGGGCAATGACCACATGCAGTCCCTTCAGCCGCATTTTTCTCCTGGGATTTTGGGCGTGCAGGCACATGTTCCTGGTGTGATTTTCAAGCCACCAGGTTTGGGACTTAAACTGTGGTTGACCATGTGGGAGTTCAGCACCATCATCGTACGCCACCTGCTGGCCCAGCATGAAGTAATTTCATAAATATTTTTGTACCGCCTCATTTTGACTGACCTGTTGCATGAAGGCAGGTGTGGAATTTTCTACTTAGGGCATCACGTCAGTATTCAGAAGTTTCAGATTTTGAGATGAGGGATGTTCAGCCTGTACACAGTTTTGTTAGACACTGTCGTACTCGTGCCATTCTGCATTCTCACCAATGATTTTCAAGTCTCCTAGCTTTAATGTTTTGTAGTTATATGAAAATACTGTTCCTGATTTATAGGAAACTACCTTCTCAGAAGTTAGGCGGGATGATGGGAGTGAAATAGAATTGGTGATACAGTGAAAGAATAAAATATTTATAATAATGGAACTGGTATCAACTTTTTCCAATTTTTTTTTTAGAGGTTTTCGCTATAGGGCACGTGCGCTTGCCAGAAAGGGAGAGAGAGACAGAAAGAGAGATGGGACCAGCAGTTAGTGTAACGGCTATGTTGCTGGACTCCCACGTAGTTGACCGCGGTTCGAGTCCTGGACCCGGTGGCTTAGACTCATTCCGGGCACATGTGTGTGTGCATGCCCAAGATCCTGAGAGGAGAAGGGAGGAGAAAGGATTGCGGCGTGGCCATCCCCCCTGGTGGGTGATTTCTCGCTTCCTGTCTCTATGTCTCTCTGTCTTTCTGGCAAGTGCACGTGCCCTATAGTGAAAAACCTCTCCAAAGAAAAAAGAAAGCAAGAAATCACCCCCCAGGGGGATGGCCACGCTGTAATCCCTTCTCCTCTATTCTCCTCTCGTGATCTTGGGCATGCACGCACACACGCCCGGCGAGTTTAAGCCACCGGGTCCAGGACTCGAACTGCGGTAGACTTTGTGGGAGTCCAGAGACATAACCATTACGCCAACTGCTGGTTCCCCAATTTTTTTTAAGAGAGATTTTTGCTATAGGGTGCGTGCTCTTGCTGGAGAGACAGAAAGCAAGAAATCATCCCCTGGTGGTATGCCCACACTGCAGTCCCTCCTTTTCCATTCTCCTCTTAGGATTTTGGGCATATACACACACGTGCCCAGCATGAGTTTTGAGCTGCTGGGTCTGGGACTTGAACTGTGGTTGGCCATGCGGGAGTGCAGTGACATAACCATTACGTCATCTGCTGGTCTCCAATACCAGTTTTTCATACCTTTAGCTTAATGAAAATATTATCTATTTTTTTTAAAGAATTATTTTTATTTAACTTTATTTAGTTATTTATTTATCTTAATTTGACCAGAGAGGGACAGAGTAAGAGAGAGAGGGAGGGAAAGGGAGAAAGCATGCCACTAGGTCTGGGACTCAAACTGTGGTTGGCCACGTGGGAATCCAACGCCCTTAACCACCATGCCGCCTGCCGGCCCTATTATCTATCTATTTTAGTTGTCTCAAATTACCTTCTTAGGGAATTGGCTGTTTTGGGGGATGGCAGGTGGCATGGTGGTTAACGTGCTGGCCTCCCACATGGCTGACCATAGTTCAAGTCCCAGACTTAATGGCTTGCCTTTATTCTCTCTCTCTCTCTTTTTTTTTCTGGAGAGGTTTTTGCTATAGGGCACGTGTGCTCGCCAGAAAGACAGAAAGAGACAGAGAGATAGAAAGTGAGAAATAACCCCCCAGGGGGGATGGCTACGCTGTAATCCCTTCTCCATTCTCCTCTCGGGATCTTGGACACTCACGTACATGCACCCAACGCGAGTTTAAACTACAGGGTCTGGGACTCGAGCCGTGGTTGACTACATGGTGTCCAGCGACACAGCCCTTATGCCAACTGCTGGTCCCCATTCTCTTTCTTTCGCTCTGTCTGTGTGTGTCTCGCTGATCAAATTGAAGAAGAATAATAAAGAAATTAATAATTTTTTTTTAAAAAGAAAAGAAACAGGCTGTTTTTTCCTGTTCTTCTGATAATTTGATAGGGCAGAACTGGTTCATGTTTGCTTTCTTTGTTATTTAGGGCTTCCTGAATTCCTCTGAGCTCTCTGGACTTGCAGCTGGGCCTGACAAAGAAGGCTCTCTTAAAGATCAGTTGGCCTTAGCCATTGGTGAGTGTTGGTAAGGATCCTGGAAACTGGAAACCAAGGACTGGATCTCATGGTAGTTTTGGTGTTCCTCTAAATCCAGATCAAGAATTTCAAGGTCATGTGCCTACAGGCTCAGATAATATGCATGTGAGAAGTGGGTTGTGTGTTAGACGTCAGGCAGCAGTGGGCCTCCATGCTCTGCTGAAGGAAACACCACCACCAAGATCTGGCCCATTTTTATATTGGGGAAAATGGAGCCTTAAATTCCTTAAAATAATTAAGATGTGTATGCAAAAATCTTATGTTTTTTAGTTATTTGCAACTAATTATTAAGAATTAATTCATTTATTTTTAGGGACCAGCTAATTTTAAAAAATATGAAAAAGAAAAAAAGAATTAATTAATTTATTTTTAATTTGACCAGAAAGGGACAGAGCGATTGAGAGAGAGGCGGAAAGTGAGAAAGCAAGCCACCGGGTCCAGGACTTGAACCACAGTCAGCCATGTGGGAGTCCTGCACCATTAACCACCATGCTACCTGCTGGCCCCCAGAGATGGCCTTTTGACTTCCAGTTGATTACCTCTGTGTACATTATAGGGAAACTAGTACATTAAAGGTCATTTTGTTTTCCTTGTATAAGGATCCAAAAAAACTTAGTGGCATTGTTTTTAGGAATTTGGTAGTTAAGGTGCTGGATCCGATATGGCTGACTATGTGGTTTGAGTCCCAGATCCAGAGGCTTGAAAAACATGCCAGGTGTGTGTACATGCATACCCCAGTTCCCAAAATGAGAATGAAGAAGGGATGGTGGTGTGGCCATTCTCCCTTGGGGGAGTGCTTTTTCACTTTCTTTCTCTCTCTCTCTGTCCATCTCCAGCAAACACATGTACCCTGTAGCATATTAAAAAAAATTTGGGGACCAGCAGTTGGCGTAATGGCTATGTTGCTGTACTCCCATGTCGTCAACTGTGTTTTGAGTCCCAGACCCAGTGGCTTAAACTCATACCAGGTGCTTGTGTGTGTGTGCTCAAGATCCCGAGAGGAAGATGGAGGAGAGGGGATTGCGGCCTGGCCATCCCCCCAAGAGGTCATTTCACTTTCTGTCTCTCTGTCTCTCTCTGTCTTTCTGGCAAGCACAGGTGCCCTATAGCAAAATCTCAAAAAACTCTGGGCTTGGGACGAGCAGTTAGCGTAATGGCTATGTCGCTGGACTCCCATGTAGTCAACTGCGGTTCGAGTTCCGGACCTGGTGGTTGGACTCACGCCAGGCGCATTTGTGTGCATGCTCAAGATCCCGAGAGGAGATTGGAGGAGAAAGGATTGTGGCGTGGCCATTCCCCCTGGGGGGTGATTTCTCGCTTTCTGTCTCTCTATCTGTCTCTGTCTTTCTGGCAAGCACATGTGCCCTATAGCGAAAACTTCTCCAAAAAAAAAAAAAAAAATCAAAATCTGGGCTTGAATTTGTGCAGGTGCATTCTTTAGTGCCCCCTGACTAGGAACTGTATCTGTACCATTGTGGCTGGACTAGTGGGGCTTTTGCTTTCTCCCTCACGTCCTTGATGGAGGGAAGCAGGGCTAGGGTTGGAGCTTGCTGGGAATTTACTGCTCATCTGAAGTTTCCAGTCAAGGCATCAATTCTGTTACTGTCAGGTCATCTTGTAGTTTCTATGATGTTTGAGTGAGTCATTGATGAGAAACCAGGCAGACAGCTATGTATGGGGTTTATTAAGAAATTCTGGAAGAATTGGGTGTTTCAGCCTCACCAGTTTCTGGGAATTCACTCTTGAGTAGATACTTTGAGCCATTTTTCAGATTAATTCTGGTTTCTGGATTCTACCTTTTCATGACTTTCAGATAGAACTCTGGCTAGTCCCAGGATGTTTATCTAGACCTCTTTTTACTCACCTACCACTCCCTTTCTTTGGGCTTATTTGGACTGGTGTTAGAAGAGAATAGGATCCTGAGAGAAATGAAAACTGGAATCTGCTTTTGGTTCTCATGAACAGCTCTGAAAATGTTATCTTTATTTTTGATGAGAGGAAGTTGAAACTGTCAGATGATGGGGTGTTTTGGATTTTCTGGGGCTTTTAGTGGTGGACTTTTCCTGATACAGAGACGATCAGGAGTTGTCTGTCAGTTACGGTGGTATATGGGAAGGACAGTAATTGGGTGGGGAAATGTAATTATTTTGGAGTTAGATCTGAGTCTTAATTCTAGCTCTGTTGTGCATTACTGGGTAGTTACTAAGGTTGTCTAAACCTGCTTTTTCTTTTTTTAGGTTTTTGCCATAGGGCACACGTGCTCATCACAGAGAGAGAGAGACAGTGAGAAGGAAAGTGAGAAATCATCCCCTGGGGGGACGACCATACTGAATCCTGTTTTCTCCTGGGATTTTGAGCATGTATGCACATGCACCCTGTGTGATTTTTAAGCTGCTGGGTCCAGGACTTGAACTGTGGCTTGCCATGTGGGAGTCCAGCACCTTAACCGCCATGCTACCTGCTGGTCCCTAAGCCTAAGTTTAATATAATAACAGTTGGCATTTGAGTGCTCACTGTGTATTAGGTACTATAATCAATGCTTTTACATGTATTATTTATTTCTCCCAATAACTTGAAAGATAGATGATATCATCTTCATTTTACAAATGCGCAAACTAAGCCTTGATAAATTAGTTAATGGGATTAGGTCATGAAGACACTTGACAAAGATAATACAGAGGCAGAGCTGAGACCTGACTCTGTTGGACAGCGCACGTGGCCCGTGTTTTTAAATACCAGAGTGACTGGCACGTAGTCAGTGCTCCCTGAAGACGCTCTTCATCTCTACCACCCCTAGCCCCTCCCCTAGTCTTCAAACAGAAACTGAGACTGGTATCTCTCCATCTTAACTGCACATCCAGTATAAATGGACTATTTTCTAGACTCTGCCTTTCTGAAGTGCATATTTTGGTACCAACACAGGCATCTCCAGCACCTGGCGTTGCTTTTTTTTTTTTTTTTTTTTTTTTAGGGAAATTGGGAGAAAACATGATTCTTAAACGAGCTGCATGGGTGAAGGTGCCATCCGGGTTCTACGTAGGCTCTTACGTCCATGGAGTGATGCACAGTCCCTTGCTCCACAACCTAGTGCTGGGGAAATACGGGGCCCTGGTCATCTGCGAGACATCTGAGCGGAAAGCAAACCTCGAAGACCTTGGCCGCCGCCTTGGGCAGCACGTGGTGGGCATGGCCCCACTCTCTGTTGGCTCCCTGGACGATGAGCCTGGGGGAGAGGCAGAAACGAAGATGCTGTCCCAGCCATACTTGCTGGATCCGTCCGTCACGTTGGGACAGTATGTGCAGCCCCAGGGAGTGTCTGTAGTAGACTTTGTGAGGTTTGAATGTGGAGAAGGCGAAGAGGTGGCAGAGGCTGAGTAGATTCCAGAAACTTTTGGCTCAGGAGGACATTTCCAAAGCCTCTTCAAACCCAGAATTTTTCATTTGATTTGTAATGAACTCCTGTGGGTAAAGTTACTAAATAAAGTGGTTATATAATAAAGAGAGTAGAATCGTTTCCTTATTTGTGTAATACTGCATTATCTTTTGGTGCCTTACTTGGGACTTTAGAAAATGACAGGTAGGCCTTAGTGAGGTGACTGTGTCTCAGAAAACAGGCATAGACAGTTGTGCTGCTGCCCACGTCAGAGTGGACTGAGTATGGAGTCCACATGCTCTTAGTCCTGTGATACGGAACTCTCGTCCTGCTTTCACTGTGTGGTGCGTTGTTCTGTGCTTTCATCCTGGAACTTCCCTAGTTACGGTCTTCTGCTGCATGGATTCCTCTGGAATCGTTGATTCAAACTTAAGAGTTGTCTGGGAAATGTGGGTTCATTTGTTGATGTCTGTAGAATGCTTTGAAGGCCCTCTCCAGTGGTATTCACTGATTCTGGCCTCATTTACTGAAATTAATAACACATGACCCCACTTCTCTTTTGGATAATAGGGTGTGAGTGAGTGGGTGTGGGTGCTGAAGTTCCCTGGACAGCTGTAAGGCAGATTGTGACATTCTTGTGCCAGGGGGCCAGTTACCCAGAGAGCACTCAGGTTACATTGCCTCTTTACTGCCCCAGAGCTGAACATTTCTCCCAGTCTAACACAAAATTACCATAAGAAGCAAACCCTGGGCCAGCAGGTGGCAAGGTGGTTAAGGTGACTGGACTCCCACATGGTTGACTGCTGTTCAAGGCCCGGACTGGTGGCTTGAAACTTAGGCTGGGCTTGTGTGTATGCATGCCCAAACTCCCTAAAAGAGAATGGAGGAAAGGAGGTTGCGGTGTGGCCATCCCTTCATGGAGGTGATTTTTGCTTTCTGTCTTACAGAGGAGCACACCCACCCTATAGCAAAAGTCTCTCAAAAAGAAAAGCAGCAGCAGCAAACCAAACCCCAGATACAACTGAAAGGAACTCCATTTGCTCACGCAGGTTTACAGGTATCTTTATTTGAAAAGTTAAAAATGTCCTGGCACATAACAGATCCGGGCATTTGGATTTTGATCTTGGGGTGTAAAATGGGAATAACTTCAATGATTTTTGAATGAAATAAGTTTTAGAAATACTGATCTTAACATGTAAAATGCATTGTCCTGGCCCAATAGCAAACATTTTTAAGCTTAGTGTTTTGGTTCTCTTTGTTTTGGCTTCTCCAGATTCATGCAGTGTTAGTGCTTTCTGATGGGCTTTAGCTTTAAGGTTGCAAAACCCAAAAAGCAGTTCGTTAACACATTGTGTGTGTGTGTATATATATATATATATATATATACACACACATATATATAATATAACAACCAAGGAATACAAGGATGAGAAAAATTGGACAACATGCTGGGATTTGCAGACTCTATTGTATCTAGACTAAGTAGCTCAGTGTCAGGCAAAAGTTGGTAGATAAATGCTTTGCTGATATTGGCACTATCTGCTCTCTTCTGTGGTCTTGAAGTAGGCATATATGCCTTCTCGCCTTAGAAAAGCCCCTTTTCTTTCTTCAGTTGGAGCTGTTTCCAGCCAGGCAGAGCAGAAAACTGCCCTCTTGTGATGCCAAACACAGACACGAAGTCTTGCTCAGAGAGGTAATTCTAAGAGAGAAAACAGTTTCTGGTTAGAAGGAAGGTGTGGCCGGTATCCATGTGAAGAGGTGGGAGAGGGGACCAGCAGGTAGCATGGTGGTTAAGGTGCTGGACACTCCCACATGGCTGACCACGGTTCAAGTCCTGGACCTGGGGGCTTGCTTTCTCACTTTCCCTCTCTTTCTATCTGTGTGTGTGTGTGTGTGTGTGTGTGTCTGGTCAAATGAAAAGAAATGAATGAATAAATAAAATAATTATTAAAAAATATAAAGAGAGAGAGGTGGGAGAGTGGGGGCCCCAGGGAGTCCTAGGTAGATCCTTGAAGAGGGAGACAGAGTGAATTTCTCAGACAGGCTGTAACAGACTTAATTTATTCATGGAGAGGCGTTCGGGTTGGGGAGCCCTGGTTTAGCCTGTGGAGGAAGCTGACCGCATTCACTGCTCTCACGGTGCTGGTTAGCACCAGTTTCTTGCCAGGGAGACAGTAAATGAGTTATATATTATAGACTTGAGATTTTTGGCAGAAGCAAGGACGAAATAGAGTGCTTTATTTTTGTTTGTTTTGCCCTTAATTAATGTTTTTATTCAGAAATTTTCAAATGTAAGATCAGGCAGATCTTACTATGGGCATAAACTCTTCCAAATATTTATTGATGTTACAAATACATAGGTTTTTTTTTTTTTGGATTACCAAAGGATGTGTACGCTGGCCAGAGAAGGAGGAAGAAAGCACCCCCCAGTGAGGTATGCAGTCCCTTCTCCATTTCTCCATACTGTCAGGATTTGGGGCATGCACACTTGCATATGTGCCTGTTGTTTTTTGTTTCTTTTTTTAAGAATTTTGCCATAGGGCGTGTGTGGTTGTTGAAGAACGAGACTGTTGGAGAGCGAGACAGGGAGAGATGGTGAGAGGGCAAGTGAAAAATCACCCTCCCCACCCCACCCCCAGGGGTGCTGGCCATGCCACAATCCCTTCTCCATTTTCCTGGGATTTGGGGCACACATGCACATGTGCTGGGTGTGAATTTTTTTTTTTTCTAGGTGTGATTTTCAAGGTGCTGAGACTTGAACTGCAGTTGGTCATGGGAGTCCAGTGCCTTAACTACTATGCCATCTACTGGCTAGCACCTGGTGTGTTTTTCAAGCAGCTTGGGCTGAGAATCAAACCATAGTTAGCCATGTGGGATCTGGCTACCTCCTCAACCACTAGGCTACAGAACCTGCCTGCTGTACTGAATATTTTGTATTCAAGTAAAGATTATTAAGCTATGACCTCTACTTTCAAAAAAATTGTAGTCCATATCCTTTTTTTTTTTTTTTTTTTTTTTTAAGAATTAGTATTTAATTCCATTACATGGTCATTAAGGCAGCTAGATTCCACATGACCAATTGAATGGTTTGAGTCCTGAACCCAGCAGCTTGAAAAATGCCCTGAATGAAACCAGCAGATGGCATAATGGTTACATCGTTGGACTCCCACGTAGTCGACCACAGTTTGAGTCCTAGACCCAGTGGCTTGGAACTTACAGTGGGTGTGTGTACATGCATGCCCAAAATCCTGAGAAGAGACTGGAGAAGAAGGGATTGTGGCATGGCCATCCTCTCTTGGGAATGACTTCTTGCTTTCTGTCTCTCTGTCTTTCCGGCGAGTGCACGTGCCCTATAGCAAAAACCTCTTTAAAAAAGAAAAAGAAGGGGCTGGCAGGTGGCATGGTGGTTAAGGGCGCCGGTCTCCCACATGGCCGACCTTGGTTCCAGTCCCAGACCTGGCGGCTTGCTTTCTCACTTTCTCTCTCTCTCTCTCTCTCTCTCTCTCTGTCTTTCTCTGGTCAAATTAAAATAAATGAATGGATAAATAAAATAAAATAAGTAATTTTAAAAAGAAGATATTACTAGAGGAACAGATAGAAGATGAACATGTAGATAGGGTGTTAGACAGATTGGTCATGCGTATGACATTGGAGCTGAGACCTAAATTATGAGAAACAGCTGGTTCTGTGAAGACTTGGGAGACTTTTTTTTTGTTATTGTTTTTAAAGAATTATTTATTTAATTTTATTCATTATTTTTTAATTTGACCAGAGAGAGACAGAGAAGG